TACGGTTTTCTAATTTTTAAGTTTTTTGTGTTTTGACAATATTCATTTCGAAAAATTCCTAATTACATAAAAAGATTTTTTATTTTTGTTCTCTTCTTTGTTTATTTGCGTTGCTTTGTTTGTATTATTTATTTTTATTTTTTGCTTATATCTGTTATATTATAGGACGAACTCCTGATGATGCCAAAGTTTTTGGCGAAATATATTGAGAAGAAAATGATATAATTCTAGTGCTACAGAGTAGGGTTGGGTTCTAAAGTAATAATTTATACATGAGATTGATTATATGTCGCCTGTTTATTCTAAAGTTCTATGAGTCCCATATCATTTGTATCCTCACTTTTAACCCTGTAGAAATAACATATGTTAACACTGTTTACAGTACTAATTACATAACACGAGCAGAGCCGGAAATGTTAGTGAGTATCGTTGAACGAAACCCCTAAGTAGCCATTTTGGAGTTTAAAATATATTTGTGCAGAAATAGAACATTATAAGCTAAATGCAGCATTTCCAAACAAAATATTGTTATCTAGAAAATTTATTTGTAACCCCTCTCATGAAGCCAATTCAGTTTTCGAAACTGGGTTTCAAATGATACCCTGTCTTAAGTTTCGGCTCAGGGTAGATCTTGCAGATGCTCATATTTATATTAGAACTTTCACGTGACATGACAAGTATAATGTCATGCAAGAAAACACCTTGAAATAATGTTCTTTTGACAGACTTTTCTTCTTCAATCTTTTATTTAAAATAAAAAACAAAAAAATAACGATAGTCTTGACTTGATTAGGAATATATATTCAATTTAAGATAAGTAACCACAGCTCTGTCCTGGCAAACGTAATCTTCTGATTGTAAAATGGAATATCAAGGACTAAACTATAGGACGCATATTCTAGAAATCAGATTCAATCTTTCAACTTTGGTCATATCTTTTAAAGGATTCAGAACTAACTCTGGAAAGATATAAATACTGGTAAAATATATGTAACACATATCCCCGAGTACTATATCAGGGAAACCTGATACCTTATCTATATTCCTTCTAATAACTATTATCATCATTTTATGCATACTTCGAAACCAAATAAAATATTAACTTTATCTTTCATGAACCTTGTAAATATATATATGTCCTAGTTGGGTACCCACTAGGCCGGTCACCCTATTTGACCTGTAACCTTATGTTTCAATAAAAAGTTAGTTAAGTGTAAAACCTCGCGTTGAATAGACCTGGCTTAAATCCTAGGTAGAGAAGACAGAAATACAGTGCGTTTTCTGTAGTTAAGATTGATTTGAAAAACAGTTTTGTGACACAACTGTTGGCAGCGGTATAGGACCTATATGAACCCAATCTAAATGCTAGAGACTCCGAAGTTTAGTAAAGTAAAAAGTGAAAACCTGGTTTTGGTTCAGTAAAGAAATTGTTTATTGATTAGCAAACACTCAGTAAAACATTCATTATATTGCCTACAAAAATGATCAGTTTTATAAATATTTAAAAATGATTAGAAATCCCTAATCTTTCTGGGCGATTACGAATTTCTGGGTTTTGTTTTTAATCCTGAATAGTCAAGCTCAAATTTAATGATTATTGAGAAGAATAGTTAAACTACGTACACTTAGTTAAACCACTTCTATTTATTTTGAATTGGTCTCAAAAGTACATAGTTCAACTTTTCCCGATATTTTTAAGTAAGGTACCTATGTTCCGGAGCTGAGAGCTTGGTTGTCCCTATCAGCTCCTTGTCTGGATGTATCTTGTTGATGTGAACAGCTAGTTTTCTACCAACCTCTTTAAAGGTTCGTTTACAAATAATATAAAAAATGTCTATTAGTAAAAAAGTAGAAAAATATTTATTTATGAAATATAACAAAAACATATAAAATTAAGTGTTTCAGGAGAACATATTTAAAAAACATCTAAAAGTAGAGGTTGTGGGAATATTTCCCCCCAATTCTAAAAAAATAAAAAAATAGAGATAAAAGGAAAAGGAAAGGAAAGCATAAGAAAAGTTACATATTTATTGTTTACACTATATTTAATATAAATTGGTGGTGGAGTGTTAGTATTTTTCGACAATGAACTAACAACTTTTAGAAATAAAAATTATAGATATATTTGCAATGTTTAAAAAAAGTAAAAAAGCTTTATGGAGTGTGAAAGAGATATAGATTCAATGAAAAACGGGCATTTTTAAGCATCTTTTTAATTCGCGCCGTTTTTTGAAATCCTAAACGTTTGATTATATCTTTTACTCTTTTTAATCTTTATATTCTTTTCTTTGTAAAGTCGTCTTTGCTTTCTTCGAATCTTTTGCAAACATAGCATGTGTTAGAATTAAAACATATGTTCTGCTGATAAAAATCTTCTATTAAATTCTGTTTAAAATTCGAAATAAGATTGATATTTGAAAGCTTAGAAAAGTGACGTTTATTTTCATACCGTATTTTAGGGAAATTGTGAGGGGAGAGCAGTCCAATTTTAATAGATTTTATTCAAGCAATATAAAAATCATTTCTGTTTCTAAGATTTGCTTTTTTGATATTTTTTGATAATGTAAAATTTTTTTTAAATATTGGGGGTAATTGATCTCCTTTTAATTGAAATAAAATTTTATAACATTAAAAATTCCTAATTTTCTGAAGAGGAGTATGTTTAAAGCCCAAAAAGCTTCATCCCCATCAAAAGACGGATAGCTTTCTTTTGCAATGATTCTAAATCATTAGGAATGTTGAACTAAATTCTAAATGGGAGTGGAAAAAGGAGTAATAGAGCAATTTCATGGTTTCTAAGCTTAAGAAGTTTATTTTTATTTTTTTCACAGCATAAAGTAAAAAAAGTTAACCGCCTGTATATCTTTTTAAAATAGTCATTAAAGTTCAATTTTGTATCCAGCCATATTCCCAAGAATCTAACTGAATCTGTTTCTTTTATTCGTTTTACATAAATAATAAACAGTAAACAGCTTAGACTTGATCCTTGGACAAGACCCATCTCTAATATTTCGAACAAGTCCGAGAAGGTACCATTTATATCGACTTTTTGCCCCCTGCCGCGTAAGTAAGATTCAAACCATTGTAATGTGTTGCCCCTAATTCCTGCTTTTTCAAGCTTTTTTAGAAGATTCTTGTAATTAATACAGTCGTAAGCTTTAGAAATATCTAGCATGACAAGTAAAACAGATTCATTATTATTTAGTGCGCTAAAATATAGTTTAAAAGCTTAGAAATTGCTTGCATAACATTACCTACTGGCAAAAAATTGGTTCGTTTTAAAAAGTTATTATTGTTGGGAAATGAAAGCATTCTTTTATGCAGATTTTTTTCCAATATTTTAGAAAATCCGTTGATTAATCCAATTGGACGAACATTAGATAAGTCGTTTTTTATCTTTTTTATAAATTGGAATAGTTCTGGACATTTTCCAACAATTAGGGAATACACCTGTCCCAAGGCTTAAATTAAAAATGTAAGATAAAGCAGGGGCTATTTCTGTAGATATATTTTTAAGCAATTTTCCTAAGTGGTTTTGTTTCCGAGTCTTTCATAATTATTCCATTATTCTACTGGATCAGTTGAAAAATAAGCAAAAGAATGGATGGAGGAGGGACCTGTATCCGCCCCTGTTTTAACTTAAAAATGCATTTTTGTACAGTTGAAGTTTTCTTGAATATATTACACTAAAAGATAGTTGGTGTATGAATTTTACGAAAAAATATGTATTTTAGTTTTGCATCAAACAAACTTTTAAACTCTTTAAAAAAAATAATTTTTAGGTAAAGAAAAAACCGAAAAAATGTAAAAATACGTAAAATAAAAACTTATAACTTTTGGAAAAGTATTTTTTTTTATTTTTACAAAAAAACGTATTTTCAGGTTTTCATCAAACTTTTAAACTCTAAAAAAATTTTAAAGTAAATAAAAACCGAAAAAATACGTAAAAATACGTAAAATAAAAACCTGAAAACTACTCAGGATATGACTTCATGTCAGCAGTTCAAATGAATAATAGTTCAAAGGAGCAATAGTTCAAACGGCGGTGGTTCAACTTAAAACAGGTTTCCACCCCCCTAATTCGATGCTAGCCCATTTGAACTACTCCCGTTTGAACTATAGTTCATTTGAACTATTGTTCGTTCGAACTACTGCACGTACGGTAAAACGTGAGTAGTTGAAATGAACAATAGTTCAAACGAGTAAATATATTGCTCATTTGAACTATTTTTCAGTTCATTTAAATCATTTGAACAATATGATATTATAAATGAAATACATAAGAAAATAGTTTAAATGCACATTAAAATAGTTCAAACGGACATAAAATATAGTTCAAATGGACGTAAAAATATTTCAAATGAACAAAAAAATAGTTCAAATGAACAAAAAAGATAGTTCATTTGAACAAAAAAATACTTCAAATGCACAAAAAAATATAGATGAAATGAACAAAAAAATAGTTCAAATGGACAAAAAAATAGTTCAAATAGACATTAAAATAGTTCAAATGGACATAAAAATAGTTCAAATAGGCAAAAAAAATAGTGCAAATGGAAAAAAATAGTTCAAGTGAACAAAAAAAAATAGTTCATTTGAACAAAAAAATAGTTCAAATGAACAAAAAAATAGTTGAAATGAACAAAAAAATAGTTCAAATACACATAAAAATAGTTCAAATGGACTTAAAAATAGTTCAAATGGACATAAAAATAGTTCAAATAGACATAAAAATAGTTCAAATGAACAAAAAAAATAGTTCAATAGCTAAAATATATTTAATTCAATTTAGTTAATAAATGTAATTATTTAAGCCGGGCATTATTTATCCGAGCGTAGCTAAATCATAATTAAATTAGATTTAAAAGATTGGATAAATATTTTATGTTATTGTTTAAATAATTAAAATGTGTAATGTCTATTTTTAACAAATTTGTTTAAGCCTCTGAGCAACTTAAATTAATATTGGTAAACAGTATATTTTCGATAACAATATTAAGCAACACCTTAGTTATACAGCTCCCGTTGAAAAGGTTGTAATAATGAAGTTTTATGAATATTCATTTTTAAGGTAAATTTAATTTGAAGAGAGGGTTTAAGATTTTAAAATATAAACTGTAAATGGTATTAACATATCTTTAAAAGTGCAACATTACACCAGTTAAGTTCGAAATTATAAAGAGACACCGGCAGAATTTTTAAAATGTCGTATTCTAATTTTCTTATAACGGATTGCTACAGAAATTTCGTTTTTAATGAAATGATTATCTGGAGCTCTTTAAAACTGTTTCCGCATATTCATGGCAAACGATTTACTTTTGCAATTACTGAGATTTACGTATAAAAGTATAAAATTGTAAGCACGACATTTCATAAATTCTGATAAATTATGCACATGGATTTAATGGTCTGAGCTGAAAACTATAGATTGGGATATCCTTAATCCCGATCGGTTAATTAATCTGGAGATTAATAACAAGAAAAGAACAGGCATTATTTAATCTCGAGAATAAGAAAAAGAGTGGATCAAGCATTAATCACGATATCCAGATTCCACCATTCTAAAGTTTTCAGCTCTGTCAATATTCCAGAAAGCTGTGACTTTCGATCACAATTTCTCCTACATAATTTTTCAGCCTTTTTTCTTAAATACTTTTTTTGCCGGCATATATGTTTTGAATAAAAAGTATTCAACAAACAAATCTGTAACTTTAAAGATTGTTAAAATATAAATCAAAACGCGTATGATTTCAAATAGAAGAAACTGAATGCCTCTAACTCTGGTTAGTCCGGGGCCCGGGGTGTGTAGGAACAACATTATCTTGAAAAACAAATTTTATAGGACAGAAATGAATAAAAGATATTTGGCTTTTATAAATTTTTCTAATTGGTCTTTCGAAGGATTTTTGGTTTCTGTCGTCTTTACATCAAATTTAAAATTTTGTTGGAGATCTTTTTGGAAATTAAAATTGAGAAGAAATGCAGAAAGTTAAACATGAGATCGAAAAGCAGGCTGATAAGAGGAGAAACTCAGACGAAAGACGACCAAAAACGCTAAAAATTCATATTTTTTTTAATCCGGGAATCTTTTTCTCGTAAAATTACAATTTATTTGGCTCAGAGGTTTCGTGCAAACTGAGAAAGGTTATACCATGGGGGTTCTCACTTTCAGCCCCCCAATAGCCATATATCTGTTTAGTGTTTAACCTTCAACCTAGGTGTTTGACTAAGATTGGGCTTGTTCCAATGATTTTAGAAGAGAGAATGTACAAGTTTAAATTCTTCTCTCTAAAAACCCTCATTGGTAATTTTGATTTTTTTCTTCAAAAATAAACAAACAATTTTTTTATCATTTAAAAAAACTATTTCAATAACGTTGTAGATGTATGCCATAGTATTTACTAATGAAAATAATTCAATTGAAACCAAAACCATAAATAAACTAAAAAATCTTTACAAACGCTGTAAATAAGGAACATTTCTGAACGCACTGCCTGTTATACTTACCCTGGCCGGGGACCAGATCTATTCTCACATATACGAGAAAGGAAATTTTATTCTTAGAAATAAAAAAGATTTTAGACGCACATTTAACTGTTTACGGGTTAATGAGATTGTAGACGCACATTTAACTGGTTACATGTTAAAGAGATTGTAGAAGCACATTTATCTGTTTACGGGTTAATGAGATTGTAGACGCACATGACATCTAACTGTTTACAGGTAAAAGAGAGTAGACGCTCATTTAACTGTTTACGGGTTAAAGAGATTGTAGACAAAAATTTAACTGGTTACAGGTTAATGAGATTGTAGACGCAAAATTAACTATTATACTGGTTAAAGAGATTAAAGACACACATCTAACTGTTTACGGGTTAAAGAGATTGAAGACGCACATGACATCTAACTGTTCACAGGTTAAAGAGATTAGACGCAAATTTAACCGGTTACAGGTTAAAGAGATTGTAAACGCACATTTAACTAGTTACAGGTTAATGAGATTGTAGACGCAAAACTAACTATTACATGGGTCAAAGAGTTTGTAGACGCACATTTAACTGTTTACGGGTTAATGAGATTGTAGACGCAAAATTAACTATTACACGGGTCAAAGAGAATGTAGACCCACATTTAACTGTTTACGGGTAAAAGAGATTGTAGACGCACATTTAACTGTTTACGGGTTAATGAGATTGTAGACGCAAAATTAACTATTATACAGGTTAAAGAGATTGTAGACGAACATCTAACTGGTTACAGGTTAAAGACATTGTAGACGCAAATTTATCTGGTTACGGGTCAAAGAGATTGTAGACACACAACAGTTTACAGGTAAAAGAGATTGTAGACGCACATTTAACTGTTTACAGGTTAATAAGATTGTAGACGCAAAATTAACTATTATACGGGTTAAAGAGATTGTAGACGAACATCTAACTGGTTACAGGTTAAAGACATTGTAGACGCACATTTAACTGGTTACGGGTCAAAGAGATTGTAGACGCACATAACTGTTTACGAGTAAAAGAGAATGTAGACGCACATTTAACTGTTTACGAGTTAATGAGATTGTAGACGCAAAATTAACTATTATAAGGGTTAAAGAGATTGTAGACGAACATCTAACTGGTTACAGGTTAAATACATTGTAGACGCAAATTTATCTGGTTACGGGTCAAAGAGATTGTAGACACACATAACTGTTTACGGGTAAAAGAAATTGTAGACGCACATTTAACTGGTTACGGGTCAAAGAGATTGTAGACGCACATAACTGTTTACGAGTAAAAGAGAATGTAGACGCACATTTAACTGTTTACAAGTTAATGAGATTGTAGACGCAAAAGTAATTATTATACGGGTTAAAGAGATTGTAGACGAACATCTAACTGGTTACAGGTTAAAGACATTGTAGACGCAAATTTATCTGGTTACGGGTTAAAGAGATTGTAGACGCACATCTAACTGTTTACAGGTTAAATATATTGAAGACGCACAATTAACTGTTTATGGGTTAAAGAGATTGTAGACGCACATCTAACTGGTTACAGGTTAAAGAGATTGTAGACGAACATCTAACTGTTTACAGGTTAAATATATTGAAGACGCACAATTAACTGGTTACGGGTTAAAGAGATTGTAGACGCACATCTAACTGTTTTTGGGTTAAAGAGATTTTAGACGAACATTTAACTGTTTACGGGTTAAATATATTGAAGATGCACAATTAACTGTTTACTGGTTAAAGAGATTGTAGACACACATCTAACTGGTTACTGGTTAAAGAGATTGTAGACGCACATCTAACTGGTTATAGGTTAAAGAGATTGTAGACGCACATCTAACTGTTTTTGGGTTAAAGAGATTTTAGACGAACATCTAACTGTTTGCGGGTTAAAGAGATTGGAGACGCACAATTAACTGTTTACGGGTTAAAGAGATTGTTTTCTTCGGGCTGAATATTTGAAAGAATAAGACGACATTTAAACCAGACTACATCTACATATCCCCAAGAACTATCTCTATCAAAGGATCATTAATTGTTCATATCTATATAAAGAGTCTTTGCCAACAACTCTGATTTTCAAATATCCAGATATCTACATAGACAACCCAATGCTTTGATTCTCCAAACCATAGATTCTATCAGATAAAATAATCTAAGTTTAAAGTTTGAAATATAACAAGTTTACACCATAGACCATATATGATTTTGTTATCTATAAAATGTCCTATCTGTTAAATGTTCTGTCTATGAAATGTCCTCTCTTTGATTTTGTTATCTATTAAATATCCTGTCTATCAAATGTCCATCTATAAATGTTTTTCTATGAAATGACCCAACACCTGGATTAGTTCTGGTTAGTCTTTGTCGCTAGTTTACATGTGATGATGTAATTCTCTAATTGGATTAAACGATTTAAATAGACAGAGCTGAGATGGATAGATTCTGCCGACGTTGAAATCTCTATTAGTCTCCTAGATTCTGCATTTTGTACTGTTTGTCCACTCAAATGGTTGGGTAGAAGAATTTTACTTTACCAAGAATTCCCAATACCAATTTTGCCTAAAACACATTTTTATTAAAAAAATGAAATATTTGGAAATATCCGGATTAAATGTAAATTTTTTTAAAAATTCAAATCTTCTAAATACACCTAAATGAAAATTATATTTTAATTATTTAAACTAAATTATTTATAATTACTTCTTAAATTTTTTATTTCTAAAACTTGTTTTGGAATGTTCAATACTTAATATGAACATTAATATTAGCTTCAAACTATGCCAATGCATTTTTGAAGTACAGCTGCAATGTGTTGACCCCTCTGCTAGCGGCGCATCTGCTCTCAAAAAACAGGTGCAGCATATGTGTCCATAGAAATAGTGTAGACTATCAGAGTGTTCCATGCAAACCATGAAAAGTTAGAAACACCTTTAAATGATAAAAACGTATAAATTACAAATATGTTGAATTAGCAATTCTTTGGACTCCTTGATAATTTGAAATCTTAAACTATTTCATTTTATGTTGAAAGCATTACAAATACCCATTGATTCTAATTTGTCTGAGAGTAAATGATACATTGTAGAAATTGCCAATGTTAGCATTCCTGTTCAAAGAAATAAGTATAAACAAATTTTTTACTTTGTTTAAAAGATTGATTATATAATTAAAATATAATCTTTTGATACCTAAAAAACGATATATTTACAAAATTATACTGCAGTGATAACAAGAAAACTCATAAAGAGGAAGACGACTTTTTAGACTCAAGATATGACTTTAAAATAATCTAATAAACATGAAACGCATCAATTTAGTATTTTATAAAAGCTCATTTCACTTAATTAGTGATTTAATAAAACTAATGCTTTGTAACAACATCAAATACACTTCCTCATTGATTGCTGATTTTCACTCAAGTACCAGGCTCAGGGAGTAAGGAATAGAAGGGAGATACAACTGCAGACGCGGTTCGCCCTACCACATGATTATACATGCTTTGCAGACGGTACTCCATTTGTATAAGAAATATTCAGAATAGGTTACAAATGGAGTACCGTCTGCAAAGCATGTATAATCATATGGTAGGGCGAACCGCGTCAGTTGTAGCTCCCTTCTATTCCTCACTCTCTGACCGGGCTGCTATAGTTAATTGTACTGTTGCAGTATCACGTGACATTAATGCGCTAGGCTTACAGCTCCAGAAGAGAGAGGAATGTTTACGTCCTACATGGTTCCGGTTGGACTAGCGATCCTCTTTACTCTGGGTAAGTTCAGGGTGACTAAGGATGAGACTGTAAAGACGACCGGAAAATAGTTCCTTGGCTTTTGTTTAATTAAGTTTTTTTTAACAATTTATTTTAAATCAAAACTGTCTTTTTTAACCAAATTTAAAAAGAGCAGTGAATTTTTTTCTTCTTATCTGATCATACATCTGTTCCCTGTTCTTCTCTTTTAGAACTACGCATTCTAATCTCTTGTAGACAATGGAAAAATTGTATTAATGCAGTGTCATAGCAAATATTGAAATAAAGCACAACTCAACTATATTGGAAGAATGAAAAATTACAAAATAAGTAACCAACGGCTAAAGAGTTTAAAAAAAAACTTTAAACTTTAAAAACATTGATTATAATGAAAGTGAAAAATTACTTTGAAAAAAATGATAAAAAAATAATGTTATTTTTACAGAGTTATAAATAATTAAAAACAAAAAGTCATCTACACTCGGTGAACGGAGAAAATAAAACTGTTGTTTGATTATCAATTGTTTATGTTGTATATGAGCCAAACCTTTTATTTCAGGAATGATTCTCAGACAAGTGTTTGAAATTCACAAAATCTTCGCAACTAGGAAACTATGAATTAAAATCTGTAGTAACTTTTCATTAATAGTATATCATGTCTAATTTACTACTGTACCTTTCCCTCTTAAGCTTTGGCTGATCAAGATTGAAGGAGATATCCATTTTTATCTCTTTAGAATTTAATTTGTTCAATTGCGGGGACGCAATAAACGTTTTGCTAGAAAAACGAACATATCTATAAAATTATTAATAAAATATAGTTTTAAAGGGTACCGTACTAAATCGGAGTAGTCCCACCTTATATCACTTCATCTCATATCATATCACTTCTATTAATTTCAAGTACAGGGCCAACTTTTAAAACTATATAGAAAGCTGTAAAGTACACATACAGACTATATATACAGGGTGTCCCACGAAACATGACAGTTGGTAAATAGTTATAAAAGTCGTCTTCCATATACTTTATTAGATATTAAAGGCTTTTTGCAGTTTATTAAGTTTAAAATATCTTTTTCCGAAATTTATTTTACTTTCAATCCAATTTTACCATAACATGACTCCCATATAATATTTGTATTGTCTAATTGGTATCAAACAACTTAAAAAATTATGGAAGAAGACATTCTAAACTATTCCCCAACTGTTATGTTTCGTGGGACACCCTGTATATAGACGACAAAAGGAAACTGTCCTTTCTTGGGAGATTATAGTGATATAAGTGTATCCTT